TATATCCCCCCTCCGTTTATTAGGTTTCTGGGCTCCTGTTTGTCGACTGCAGCACTTCTGTTTTTGCTGCAAAGCAGAAAGCTGAGCCCCGGCTCCCCAGTGGTCTTATAAAGGTAACAATAGAACTCCCGTGTGCAAAGGAAGCAGAGCACAGCAGACGATGGCTCACACAACTAATTGAAAGGCTGCAGCCATCTCAGACAATCAGCCAACTCCATCTGCGATTATAGATGTGACGTTATGTGCCAGGATACAAATCCGACATTGTCTCCAAACCTCTGGCGCCCGTTTTAGACCTGGCGATAGTGACCCTGATGAGCTTTTGGCCTCCTCTGGGTGCTCATTATGTGTGACAGCATAAACCTGACTCCTCTGTTTTCAGCTCAAACTTTCCCTTCTTTTTAATGATTTCTCACATACCAAGCTGGGTCCTTTTTTTGTTTCTAACTAATCCAACAAAACAAAAGGACAAAAACTCAGGTGTTTACCAAAAGCAGCATGTCAGTTGGAGCAGCAAGCTTTTGTTGTAGCTCCTGGTTTTGCCCTTTTCCAAACTGACGCCTTTTGACACGGAGGCTGAAATTATTCGAGGCGGAAGCAGCAGTGCAAATGAAACATCATCATGATTGCAATCTTTCTGACATCTCCAGTAAGAGAAAGGTTTTGTTGCATGCTAAAATGGCAGTGGTGTTGAGCTCTCTCTTTATGTTGACAAGGTCTAGTTTAGCATGAAATATTTTAGTTGTGTAAGACAACGGATCGATCCAGTTTTTATACATGTTCTGAATCCTGAATTACATGTTTCCGTACATTCACGAGTCAATCAAACCTTAACACCCACATGAAAATGTATTATTCACTATGTAAGAAGTTACTAACACTACCTTGCATCAACTGTCAATCAATGATAATCCCAAATGTTATTGACAAATAAAAATAGGGCTCAAATTCAATTTAGAACAACTACACATTTTGGACGAAACATTTATTGAGGCTTTGCTAGTTTGAAAATTCAGCAAAAGCATTTATGGAAACATGCACTATGCATAATTTATTTTTAATTTTATTTGCATAAAATTTAAGTCAGTATTTGTGAAACATGCAAGAAGTCTTTTATACGCTAATTCAGAGATCTGCCTTGTGAAAACATTAAAAACTTCTGCACAAGTACAAAAAAAGTTGGTAAAATGCCTCAAGATTTTGTGCTATATGGCCTTGATGATCTGTTACAGTGTTATATGTATTCCTTAACTACAGTGCCTTGCAAAAACATTGATACCATTTGGATTTTTCCTTTTTTTCCCACTATGCAACCATAAAGCTTAATATATTTTAAGTTTTATGTGAAAGACCAACACCAAATAGTGCTTCATTTTGATTTTGGAGAAAAATAGCGCACAATTCTACATATATTTTTCAGATAAAATCTTAACAGATTATCCACAGCTGTACTGTGAAACCCTTGGAGATTACACAGTGTACATTAATCAGATATATCACCATCTGCGGTGAAAAACAGTGGCTGCAGCATCATGTTGTGATATTTTTCTTCACCGGGGAACGGGAAGCCGGTCAAATGTGACCGGAAGATGGATGGAGTTTAATTACGGGTGGAAAAACCTTTTAGAGGCTTCGGGAGAGTTTAGGCTGGGATGGAGGTTCATCTTCCAGCAGGTTAACTGGATCTAAACTCATACAGGTTTAGATCAAAGACTACTCATGTCTTAGTTTAATCCAGACTCAGTCCAGGCCCAAATCTGTTTTAGAATTCTCGCCATACAATTGCAAGAAGTTTGAGTTCTATTGAAATGGAGAGGTTAAGAAATGCTGTCTTTAAATGTGTAAATCTGGTGAAAACCTCCCCCACAAGATTTGCAAATGCAATTCCAGTAAAAGGTGATGCAATAAAATATTGACTCAGGAAGCCAAATATAAATTCATGGCGGATTTTTCCACATAGTATCCTTTAAATCTCGACTAGAAACCCACCTGTTCAAAGTTGTATTTGATTGTTGATTCTATGTTGTATGACTTTGGGTTTGTTATGATGTAAAGCACTTTGAAATGCCTTGTTGCTGAAATGTGCTATACAAATAAAATTTGATTGATTGATAATAAAAAAAGTATTTTGTGGTGATATTTCACTTAAAATCTCAATTAAATACATCAGATGATTGTGACTAAAACAGCAACACTGCATTTATTTGTCAACACGGAAAACAGCAACACACCTGGCATGTTCTGCATGCCATGTTCACTGCAGTGACACACGGCACAAACACACACTAACACTCACACAAACAAATAAGACAGGGAGCTACAGGATGCCTGATTACTGCCAAGCCAAAGCATGCAACATGATAAGGTTGTTTTTTTTTTTTTTGGTTTGTTTGTTTTTCACATGAACACAAATGCATTACATGTGTCAACAAGAAGGCTCACCAAGTTTCCAACATGGGAAGGACCCTATTCTACACACACTGATGCACTATGACAATCGTAACACATATTAGTAGATTTTACCAACATGGAAGTATTGCACTTTTTTTTTTTTTTGGAATCAGTGTGACCACATCGTGGAGACAAGCCCGAATGGAGTGAGTATGAGTGATGACGGATGCAATGAGGTGAGAGGGCTGGTGGGAGGGAGGGGGGTGCCGTGTGGAGTTATGTTGCTGGGATGTGGGGATGCCACGTGAAAGGATGATCAACCAATTACTGACAACAATGCGGAAATACAGAAAATCAACCTGAACAGAATACAGCTTTCTAAAAGAGAGATAAGACGCAACAATAACAAAAGAAAAAAAAAAAAACAAAATAAAAAAAAAAGACAAAAAACCACAAGCTGCTTTCTGTCTCAGCCCCAGGGGGTCCTGCTTTGAAGTGGTTTGCTTCAGAGGTTGCCAGGGGGACGTGTTAAAGTCTTGAAAGTTACCAAGAACCTTCTGCTGTGCTCTTTGTTTGAAGCTTAGTGGCCTTCAGAGCACAAAACAATTAGACAACACAACACCCGATGCACCTTTTGTCAAGCAAAGTTCGACTCAATAAACTGATTGATTCACGACTTTGCATCCTTCACGTCTCATCTATCTTGAAATCACCTTCCGCGTAAATGAGCCGTTTGAGCATTAAGAGCAGCGAATTTTTCTTTGGTGTGGTGCAGAGGAACACCTCGGATTTGACTTGGTCTCCTCCAACTTTCCCAGCCTCACACTTTCTTTCGCAACCTTTTATGCCGTACAGGGACATTACCAGCAAGTCTACAGAAGATGCTGAACAATGGGAAAACCTGCTCCCCATTTTTATAGGGAGGGAGAAAACGTTTTTCTCTCACTGATTTTTTTTTTTTTTTGTAGTAATAAAATCTGATGACAACCTGCAGTCACACAAGCACATTTTTGAAATTATCCTACTGTTTGTTTTTTATATTTGCTATTTCTAATAACTGCATATTATCTTCTTATGTTGTGCATTTAATTTCTGTTTTAACGATTTTGTTTTTGTGTAAATCTACATGTTCCGTGCTGGTACTCCAGCAGCAGTGGGACAATAAAGGTTATTTCTATGCTATTCTGTTCTGTTTTTGCTCTTGTTTAAATCCTATAGCTGCATTAAAATGCTCCACTCCTCAACTTATGTTTCTCTTTTTCTACATCCTAAAAGACATTACAGTCCTAAAACTCTAGGTTAATGCTTCTCAGTTCTTACAAAGATTAGAACACAAAAACAAACCAAGAAATATCCATTTAGTTTTCCCTTTTGTTCTCCTCCCTTTCTGCTGCTGTACTAGTTTTAAAGCATACTCTGCCCAATATACTGTAAAAATGTATATGCAAGTAAATTAATTCACATGGCTAAAAGCCAAATAATAACTACGCCAGACCTTCCTTTTAAAAAATTGCATGTCTGACCTCTTGAAAGAATATGTAAAAGGAATCAAAGATGTTTTGGAGACATTTTTTTTTCTCTCACTCTCTTTTTTTGAACTTCAGTAGCTATTTTATCTTATTGGTTTTATTGATCTGCTCTCTTTTCACTGATTTCATCTAGAAGACTTGATGACTTTATGGAAAGGTTGAGAATTGACCCTTCAGATTGATTTCAAAATTGTGTGATTGATTTTTGATCAATTGCAAGACTTAAAATAGCTTAAAAAGTTTGTTTTTTTATTGTTTATGTACACATAATATGAATGTGTAAGAAATACATTTTAAATTTTGATCTGAGCAGGTTTTAAAAGAACTTTATTTTTATTTTTTACATCAGTTCATGCAGCTGGCTGCACACCAGGCAGGCCTATAGGTTTGTTTAAAGAGCGTCTGCATCAGCGTTTGTTGGTCTGCAGTCCTTTTGCCACTTATTGTGTCCAGCATTGCAGGGGCTATGATTTGCTATCAAGTGTGTTTGCTTATCCTCTGTCCTCTGCCAAGCTCGAACAATGCAGCAAAGCAATCCTGTGAGAAACCGAAGTCTGCGACAAACAAACCATTTTCAGGTGAACGGCTTAATTGCTATTGATGTGCCTTGGCTGGTTGAATGCTATAATTTCCAGTGAAACTCGGTAGGTGGACTGCACTTGTGTAAACAAAAGTGGAAGGCGAGCAAGCTGCCAGCTCTGTCTAAAAATGGCAAAACAATACCTGCATCTAACTTTCTTGCAGGATTTTTTAAATGACCTAAAAGTAATTCATTGTGAAAACTTTAAAGGAATTTCATGGAATGTAATATTTTTTTAATTCAGAAGCACAAAAACCCTTTCGAAATCGAAATGTGTGCTTTTCCTCCCTGCAAGACCTTGAAGCGTTTACAACCACTTCAACTTTAGACACCACTTCTGAGGCAGCTGACTGGACAAGGGTTTAGCTACTGAAGCATTGCTACTAACAGGATGCATGAGAAGTGGCTGCAGTTGAGAAAAGGATCTTAAAAACGGAAATTAAATAAAGGTGAAAATCAAAACATTTGTGAAGATGTTACTGTGAGGGGAATTGTCTTACCGGGGGACACAGGCAGTGGAGGTCTCTGCCTCAGGGGCCTCCGGGGCTGGGCAGCAGAACTGATGAAGAACTGTTTGGTTGCTGTGTAAAAAAATACAAAACAAAAAAGACAATATCTTAAGAGGATTCTTTGAAAGAGTCAACTTGTCAGGATTTTCTCTAATGAAAACAGATTTGTTGCAGATCAATTTCCCTTTTTTTGGGCTGTGAAATAGAAAATATCAGCAGTACTCAATAGTACAACACAGTTGTTTATGTAGGCGTTTAATCATGGAAAAAATACACCAACGCATTATGAAAAATTACTAAGTTAATAAAATTTGTGTACATGATGAGTAAGCATCTAGCATGAATGAACATGCTGATATAGTCTTGACTGCTATGTGCAAAGGACAATTTGATGTTCTTAGACTTAGACTCGTACTTTATTGATCTCTTGGGAAGACTCCCTCAGGAAATTGAAGTTACCAGCAGCTTACAGGCAGAAAAGTGGCACACAGAGCGCAAAATACAAAAGAATACAAAAAATACAAAGGTACACACTAAATGTGAGTAGCCAGAACCCTAAATTAAGCAAAATAAGCAAGGAATAAGAATATAAATAAAATATAAATAAAAAATATAAATACAACACAAAAGAAAATATAGGAATTTGGCGGATAGATTGACCAGTGATATGATATTGCACTATATGGTTTGGCCTGATAAGTATGGATATTTGCAGAAAAGTACAAGGGGTCACTACTAATTGACCAATCCATGCAGCGCAAGAGACAACAAGAGACAGCATATCAATCAAATAATAAAATTAATGGTTGCTACTATAAATGAAAAATTAGATTTTTGTCTGAAACTGAAATCATATATTTAAATTAGTTGGAAATAAAGCGAGTTATCTCTATAGCTTCAAAGCATCGTTGAAATATTCAGCCATCAAACTGGTGGTCTCTGCAGATGTCCACTCCCAAGTGGTGCTCAAGTGGAAAGAACACGAGTGTGAAGATTTTCATGTACGCGTGAGAAAGCTTTCCTTTTATCCCCAGTTTACGCTCTCTCCCTTTCAGACTGGACACTGCCTTGCATTTCAAACGTTCGTCCGTCTCTTCGCTCTGTATCAACTCAACCCCCCATCGTTCTACTTTCTGTCTGCTCGTTCTTTCACGCTGACTTTACGTCACTCTTTCTAGAAATCTGCATCCCCCGCCTTCTGTTGCTGGGTTCTACAGACAGCCTGTGTTGTGCTAAAGAGGAATATGCTCAATTACTCTCTCTGTCAGAAAATGTGGCCAGCCTAACGTGTGCTGCGCTGTGTCATCATGGGGACATAGAGGAAGGACACAGCAGGTGAGAGAAATGAGCAGGCACAAAGGGTATTGTCAATTAATTACTGAGAAAAGCTTCAGGTTCAGTTCACTAAATCTCCACCTCTACCACCCTGATTTGGTCAGTAAAGAGCAGTCGTTCATCTCACAAAGAATGGCAAGCACAACATTTACTCTGCAGCCTGATAGAAAATTCAGCACATCCATAAAAGCAACAGTCCCACTAAAAAAAGAAGGGTAGGAAACAAATAAATAAAAACTCGAGAAGGCGGTCGCTGGGTGTTTTCAAGCAACAATGGCTGATAGTTCAGGGAGGGGATGACAGGAAATTAATTTTCATTGTTAATGTCTCCTCTAATTGTGTCCTCTTTAACAACCATGACACTGCTGTGGTTAGTTTTAATGGGGGTCCAGGACACAAGACAGTCTCTGAGGGAACGCAGATTAGTTGGAGTGCTGGAGCAGTGGAGACGCTTGTGGACTATGATAAAGTTTGCATATGCTGCTCATCGGCGAGGAAACCCTTCCTCCTGAACATATACAAATGTGAAAACTTGAAAACAGCTGAATTATTGACATTCCTTTGTGTATCAAAGTTAAATTTTTTGCTGTAGCGGAATTAAAAGAAAATAGCCTTGCTGCTCTGATATTTTAACATGGAACCACACTTTGAATATATAATGTACTGGAGATAAGAGTTGGAAAAAAGGTTCATACATGCATACAATTTATTTTTTTCCTATATATATAAAATCCTGCTTTGCTGCATTATACCTGCAACTGAGGAGGCTGAAGAAAAAAATTCTTGAAAATAAAAGTACCTGGAAATGACAACAGTAAATGCACAAGAAACAAACATTTGGCTAAATCAATCCATGACTGACTTAAAGGTCAAAGACTCGATTTTGAATATCGAAACAAGAAATAGAAATGTCTGCCTTGCTTTTCCATTGGTAGGGAAGGGCTGTGTCAATCTGTTATTATGTTTAATGGCTGACATTTATATCAAATCAAAATTCATTTATTTTCATTGTACATCTAAATGCATATATAAAAACTTCCTCACACATGTTTTGGTAACATTGTCTAATTTTTTGTCAACTACTTCCTTTATTTTTAGTTTACCTTGGTAACCCAGCCTGAGTGTATGCAGGATTTTTTATATTGTATTTACTTCTGTTTAAACGGCTTATTATAATTACACACCTCTATTCCCAAGAGTCATGGGCTTACATTTTTGCATTTCAATTGCTATTTAATTGATAGCATGGATACATCTCTCATATGTGCCTGCACTTATTTGATCAAAAGCAGCAATTTAACCAAGCTTGCATCCAGCTCTGCATTGATCCCTCAAAAGCCTTTACAACTCACTAAATAAATATCTTTCTGTTTCCTTAGTTGCTCTTAATAAAAAATCCCAAACTGTGACGATCGCACCCATAAAGCTTCGATATTATTTCACCAATTATACCACGGTAGCCTGAAAAGCTCCTGGCTCTTTAATTGGTGTGTTTTCTCAGTCCTATACGGGTAAAGATACTCTTAGACCTGCTTAATTATCCACAATGTTTAATTAGAGGTTATTATTCACTGTGCAGTGGGGTTAGGAGAATTTGAGAATAACACACATAGACGATGCTGAGATACAGACAAATCTTGCAATTATATGCACTTTGGTCAAACTTGAGGAAAATGGGTGACTCACTTTGCAGAATTTGGAGGGGAAAATTCTCCTCCCGGGGCAGTAATGTGGGCAAAAAGACAGAGTGAACACTTTTGATCTTTTAAAGCCCTTTTATTCATCGCAACTATCGTTCCCTGCTTTGATCTTTCTCTCTCCTCAATTTGCTTTGTTTCAATTGCCGACTATCTGCTCCTATCGCCTCCATCTTTCCGCACAAAACGCTTGCAAGCCATTTATAACTGTCGCGGTTTATGGCCAGGCATGACCTTCAGAGGAGCAGCTGTTACAGAGACAGAGCAAAAAAAAAACAAAAATGTCTCGGTTGTTACAAGTGTGGAAGAAACAGGTCGTTCAAACTGAAATTAGACTAAAAACTGTGATGTTTAAGATTATCTAAATTTGTCTATATTACGTAGCAATAGCATATTGATAACTCCTATATTTCTATTTGCAAGATAGTTTTTTTATTAGTAATACTCAACCTTCATTTAAGCAGAAAGTGCCTTGAGAACTTCCTGGCCTAGAAAGCACATTGCTACAAGCTACATTTTTCACATCAAAATTCATAAAACAAAAGAAGTTAGAGTCAACATAAAACATGTACAAAGCGTAGCTTAGAAAACAATTGCTAAGCTCTCCAGTTACAAAACTCAGTGGACTATTGTCTCAGTGGATTTGAATTAGAAAACCTGCATAAGTAAAAATCCCTGACTTGAGGTTTTTATGCAGAGATGCACACTCGCACTCCAAAAGGAGCATTCAGTTTTGGTCAATGCTATCGCTGGGGATTAAAGTGTACACATATGATCTGCTTTCTGATTTTCAACACCCCTTTCCCACTAACCCCCATGGACCAAAACACTGCATCTAAGCTTTAATAAGCTCCTCCACACTCTGCATCTGGTATACACAGAAGACAGCACCCTTCCCACTTTATGGCACTTCTGACACAATGTTTTTAATTTTTTTGTTTTAAATGCATCTTCATCTCACACTGGAGAAATGCCGCAGCTCTCCAACTGTAAACCTAAAGCATGTCTCTCTCGTTCCCTCTTTGCCTTTCATTCAAACAAATGTTTTATACTTGGAAAAAATAAAGAGCAAAATCCTCATATAGAGATGCACTTGGGTTTGCTTCACACACAAGCAGTTTATCATGACTCTTTTTTTTAATGAATCATTGCATCCAATTGATGCCAGGGAATTTCTGGTCTCTACCCAATAAGATACACGTCTGGATTCACAAGCTACGATCACCCTATACTTTTAACATCCTCATTCATCTACATAGGACTTGCATCCTCATCAAGATGCCTGTTGATTTACATGAACATAACTGAAAAATCTACTTGTTGAAATATTTTTTCATTAGCAAAAATGAATGAAGTAATTCAAATTTCAATAATTTATTAATGATCATACGATCATATATTCTTTGCGTGGAAAATGTTTGAGTGTTTTTTTGTTTGTTTGTTTTTTTGCCATTGAATCCTGATGCATATGTTGTCAATTGCTATGGCAACTAGTCTGCGCGCAACCTAGCCGTCACTGGGAGCGAGAAAAATTAAGAATACTGGTTTTGAGTTATTCTTCTGCGTTATTTTTCCCTTTGCTGTGACCAGCTGCATTTAATCAATAATACCTACATCTCATTTAGTTCACGGAATTTAGTTCACGGAATTGTTATGGGTGGCATGGGCTTCATGCCCTTCAGCGTTGTGCGCATGCGTGAAATTTCCAGACACACAAAAACCAGCAAGGGGGAGGGATGCAGCATCTGTTAAGGTTTTTGCTCGTTGCGGATATTAAGAGCCAGGTATCCGCTAAAAAGGGATGAAATGCTAGTCTCACCATGCGTAGAGCCGAAGGAAGAACAACGACGTGAATCTGCCGCTGTCCGTTTCTCTTGTAAAAGCCGCAGCGTGGCGGTGAATTTATGGGCTCCGCCATGTTTGTTGCGGTAATTAAGCGCGCGCGCCTACCCTCACAGCTTCTTCCTCTTCCGGTCTACAGTTAGCGCTCGTTGGTCACGTTTTATTTATTTATTTATTTATTTATTTATTTATTTATTT